TCGAGACCGTCGAAAAAAGACCCAGGGTAGAAGACCGGTCCCAGGGAATGGGTCGAGACCCTTGGGGGTCGACGTTATGAAAAAATCACGACGTTGGGGGTCTGGGCTCCAGGGGCGCAGCGGGGATCATCGAGAGCAGATGTTAGTGCGCGAGACTGGGTTGCTGAGCACACAGCAGCACTGTTTCCTGGGGCCCGACCTCGCAGAAGAAAAAAATCCACACTTGGGCCCTCTGGGCCTCGTGAGGGGTGCTCCAGAGGCCGTGAGGCCCTCCCTGGAAATCCTGGGGGCACCTTGGGCCAGGAGCCTTTCGAGGCAGCACCCCACGGCCGGGCTTCTCAGAGGGCCAGAGGGCTTCTGAGAATCGAGCAAGAAGAAAAACTGCATACACATAAAAGAAAGAGACCTCGACCTCGAAGACCTCGAAGAAGAGACTTCTTGGGCCGGACCTCGAAGAAAAAAAACTGCACACACGTAAACTTTTGGCGCTCCGCGCGGACTTCTTGGATCCATGCTGGGACCACCAAGCGGCGCCTCCGGCGCGCCGCGCTCGGTGCGCTCCGCGCGCCAGGGAGGGGGGGTCCAGCGCGGATTGCCAGGAAGTCCGCGCGGAGCGCAAGAAGATTCCGTTTAGGCCTGGGCTATGGAGCACGTAGCAGCATTATTTGTTCAACACAACAACAAACACAGGGTCATTCCAAGCAAACCTCCTTCAATCTACATGTTACCCAAATTCCCCCACATATGCCACATAGACACTGGAAACAACGTTTCTCAGCAGTAGAAACCAACATTGTGCAAGTCAGGGCCTGGCCGCGCAAAGCGCCAAGATCGGGAGGGCCGAGATGGTCGGGCGACGAAATCTATACATATCCACTGCTCCCTGACCATGCCCATCTTGAACCCAGGAGCTGTGCATGCGCCCTCCTGGCCAAGCCAGGAGGGCGTGGCGTATACACCGCTGCGGGGTTGAGGATGGGCCTGGCCAGGGAGCAGTGGATATGTATAGATTTCGTCGCCCTAGATGGGTACGGGAAGGCAGCGGGCACCAGAGCAGAACCACAGGGACCAGCGCCAGCGTGGCCAGCAGCACCAATGTCGCGTGCTCCCTTTCTTGGGCCTCCCGGGAGGCCCTCGTCGCCACGGCGGGAGTCGCCCTAAGATCTTGGCGAGGACGCGTTACACGCCGGTCGCAGGTATTTTTCAAGCGCCTTCCTACTGCAAGAATCGACACGCTTCTGCTGTGTTTTGTTATTCCCTGGGGGGCCTGGACCCAATCAACTCAATCCGCCTTCCCACTTCATGTGTTTACCTAGTTCTTCCGACCGGCGTGTAGCGGTACAAAGTCCAACAGCGGTATTCGCTGATTGTGAGCATGCTTCTTGTCGGCGTCGCCGCGGCGGCGGCCCCCTCGAGGCAGGAGGAAGGCCGGCTGCCCGGCAGCGGCCGCTGCCGTTGTCGGACAACGTTTGCCGTTGGGCATCGTACACTGTTGCTGCCCGTGCCCATGCCGGGCGCCTTGGAGGGCGGAGGCCTACCCCCTGTTCACCACCCACCAAACCACCCCAACCCAACCCGAAGGCTTCACTTTGCCCTCCACTTCCACTAGGGGGGGATCGGGGAACATCGAGAAAACACATGGTCCCCGTACCCTCCCCAACCCGAAATTCGGGTCAAATCCGTGTCTTCTGGTTTGGGGGGGTCGTTGAGAGTAGGTATTGTTGGATCCCCAGATCCCAATCTACTTCAAGCGCCTTCCTACTTCAAGAATCGGCACGATTTTGCTGCGTTTTGTTATTCTCTGGGGGGGCCTCGACCCAATCAACTTCACATGCCTTCCTATTTCATGCTCTTACCCACTTCTTCCGACCGACGTGTACTGCTGCCCGTGCCCATGCCGGGCGCCCAAGCAGTTGGACGGCGGGGGCCTGCCCCCTGTGGGTCCCGACTCCTGGGCCCTCCTGGAGCTGCCTTGGTGCCCCTTCAGGCGCTCCGGGGGCGATGCTGAGGGGCCCGGGAAAAGACGCCCGCGGGAATGCTGGCATCGTGAGACCCTTTCTCCGGGGGACCGGCCGGAGGACTTCTCGTCCAGGGACCCCCATGGGGCGCCACGAGCGCGCGAATAATATATATATATATATACGAATGTATATATATATATATATACATATGTGTATCTCTGGGGGGCAGGCCCGGGGCCCACAAACAGCTGCCCCGACCCCCCTATGGGAGGACCGGGCGGCCGGGGAGGTCCAAAATAGTCCAGGGGGGCCTCCAGAGGCCCCCCAGACGGCCCAAGCGGGCCCCGAGTCGCCAAAAGACCGCTCCTGGACGCCCAAGACGGCCCGAGAACCCCCCCCAAGGCACTCCACGACGCTTCAAGACGCCTCTCCCGATCGCTTCAAGAGACCAAAATCGTCAATGTTACAAAGGTTTTGGAGAGATTTTGGCCTTCCAGCCTTTTCGACTGTCCGACGTTCCAGGTCGGCTCCATAGGCCCCCAAGAACGCCCCAAGACGGCCCAAGAGGGCCCCCAGACGGCCCCAGAGGCGCCCCAGAGAACCCCAAGACGGCCCCAAGATGCGCCCAAGAGAGGGACCACGACTCCAAAATTCGACCTCTCCCGCTTCAAGAGTGCCCCAGGAGGCCCCAAGGAGCCCCCCAGAGGCACCAGGAGGCCCCCGAGAGGCACCCAGGAGACCCAAACAAGGCCTCAAGAGGCCACAAAACAGCCCCGAGGAGGTCCCACAACGGTCTCAAAATGGCTACCGAGAAGCTGCGAAACTGCCTTCACGACGTCCCCGACATGCCAACCACGAGATCCAAACCAACCACTCACCACCTAGGGCACCCGCCGCCCGCCCGCCGTCCGCGTATCACGCGCCACTCTGTACTCAACAGCTGCAGTCTCCAAGACAACACCCTGTAGTCAACAGCCCCCATCTTCAAGGCAACACCCTGTACTCAATCAGCTCCCGCTGCAAGAGAGCACCCTTAAGGAATTCATTCAAATCCCGACCCGCCCGCCCGCCACCCGCCCGCCCGGCCGCTCGCCCGCCTTCCGCGTAGCACGCGCCACCCTGCACTCAACGCCTCCAAGACACCACCTAGCATTCAACAGCCCCCAGGGCTCCCAGGACTGCCCGGGCCCGCTCCCAAACATGCCACGACACGCCAAGAGGGCCCTAAAGATTACCAAGACAGCCCCAAGAGGCCCCAGACACGCCAAAGATGGCCTCAGGACGGCCGACGACGCCGCCAAAACGCCCCAAGAGCGCCTCCAGAGGCTCCTTCAAAGGGCCCCGCATTTCTGCGCTCTCGCATGTTACGCCTTCCCACAGTCCCGAACGGCGTCAGAGGCCCTTCAGATCGCTCCAAGACAGCCGAAGAGGCTCCCAAGGAACGACCAGAGACGGCCCAGGAGGCTCCCCAGATAATTCAAGAGGGCCTCGAGAGCGCCTCAAGAGAGCCCCAAGAGCGACCCAAGAGGGCCCGAAGAGCGCGACATTTCAAGGTCTCCGGTCCGAGAGGCCCCTGGGACGCCCCCGGAGGCCATCAAGATGCTCCCAAGAAGCCCCGTGAGGCTCCCAAAAGGTATCCCCAGAAGCCCCACCCCAATAAGCCCCCAAGGGCCCACCAGGGAAGCCCCCTGCGGGCCCCCAAGAGACCTCGGTAAATCGTATTTCCCAGAGCTTTCCGGGAACATGATTCCTTGGGCTTCCGCCCACCGCCCCAACCATGTTTCCAATAGGCTTGCCGACAAGGCCAAAAGGGACCCTCGATAAGCCCCCAGAGCCCCCCTCTTAAGAGAGCCGAACAAATCGTGTTCCTGGAAAGCTTCCCGGGAACATGATTCTCGTGTTGCCGCCCTCTCCCCAAACAATGTTTATAAACGCTTGCCAGGATAAAAAAAAAACGACAGTCCCAAGCAGCGCTACCTGCCGCCACGCTCGGAAACGCGTCAGGCCCCGAAGCCTCCGGAGGCGCCCAACGACACCCCAACAAATCATGTTCCCAGGAAGTCTTACGGCCAGTGCCGCCGACGTTGAAGGAGGACAGTCCAGGACGCCCAGAAATCTTCCAAACAGGCTTCCAAAAGGGCTCCGAGACAGCCCTGGGCCGCCCCCAGACGGCTCAAGAAAGCCCCACCACAGACGAAAAGGGCCGCAAGAGGCCCCCAAGAGGCCCCGAAACGAGGATATATCGTTCGAACACGCTCAAGATGGCCTCCAGACGGCCCACAAGGCTTCCAACGCGGCCCAAAAGGACGCCCAAATCGTTGATTGTCCTTAGGTTTTTAATTGATTTAAGACACCCAATGTCGCCCCAACAGGCCCCCACGAGGGCGCCGAGACGGCCCAGGGACGCCCTGCCGCGGGCACGAGGCGGGGCCCGGGACGGGGCCCTCGCACCGGGGGGCCCTGCCGTGGCGCTGGAGGCCTTGCAAAGTCGCCAGACAACGAAAACGACCAATGACCGCCCGAGATCACCCCAGAATTGGTCCCTGACTGCCCAAGAGGCCTCCAAGACGCCCCAAGAGGTCTCCAAGATGGCTCCCAAAGAGCCCCAGGAGGCACAACTAATTTGTTTTCCTTTTTTTATCGATTTTCGAGTTCTCGCCTTTTGAGTTTCCTGACGCTCCGCGACGGCCCAAGAGGCCTTAATTTCCGCTCCAAGGCATCTCCAGAGGCCTCGAAGACGGTCACAAGACAGCCCACGGGGGTCCCAAGACGGCGCCAGAGGCGCCCAAGGCGGCCCGACAGGGCCCTAAGACGGCCCGAAGATGGAGCCAAGAGGGTTGACACGATCCGAAAATCCGAGTCTTCCACCCCGAGAGGCTCTCAGGAGGCTCCGAGAAGCCCCTAACAGGCTCCAAGAGGCCCAAAGAAGCCCCCCAGGGGGCCGAAGAGTATCCAAGAGGCCTCCCACGAAGGCCCCAAGAGGCAAACATCCATGTCTTGCCATAGGTGTTTGATTGATGTTCGAGTTTTCAGCCTTTTGGCGTCCTGACGCTCCAAGACGGCCCAAAAGGCCTCCAAGACCAATCCAAGGTAGCCCAAGAGGCCTCCAACAGGGCCCAAGACAGCCCGAGAGGGCACCAATACGGCACCAAGGGGGGGCAAAGAGGGGTAAGACGAACCGAACATCCGAGCCTTCCACCCCGAGAGGCTCTCAGGAAGCCCCAGAGGCCCCCAAATGGGACCCAAGAGGCCCTCAAGAAGCTCCCCAGAAGGCCGAAGAGGTTCCAAGGAGTATTGTCTTTCCATCGGCTTTTGATGGATTTTAGAATTCCCAGCCTTTTGGCATCCCGACGCTCCAAGACGGCCCAAGTGGCCCCCACGGCCGCTCCAAGATAGCCGAAGAGGCCTCCAAGAGGGCCCCAAGACGGCCCACGAGCACCCCAAGACGGTGCCCGAGGCGCCCAAGACGGCCCGAGAGGGCCCCAAGAGGGCTCCAAGAGAGCCCCAAGAAGGAGAACGCGAACCCAACAGCAGAGCTTTCCGCCCTAAGAGACCCACAGGAGGCCCCAAGAGTCCCCAAGTCGTCCGACGAGGCCCCCCAAAGCCCCCCACCAGGCCCCAAAAGGCTCACAGGAGACGTACACCGGGCCCCAAGATAGCCGAACAGGGTTCTCGATGCATCAAAATTGCTTCAAGGAGGCCTCGGGAGGCGTCCGGATTGCCCCAATGTGGCCTCAAGCCGGGCCTCCACGCAGCCAAGACGGCCAATTGACTGCTTCAGACTGCAGAACATCACTTTCCGACTGCCCGGAGAATCCTGACGATGCCCCTAAGGGACCCCAAGAAGCCCCAAGATGCCCCCCCGAGAAGCACCCAAGAGGTGCCTCCAACAGCCAATTGAGGAAGCACGGAGAACCCCCCAGAAGCCCTTCAGATGCCCCCACGAAGACCCAAGAGGTTCCCAAGAGGCCCTCAGGAGGCACGACTATGTCACGCGCCTGTGCTTGATAGCGCTGTCCAAGATCTTCTAGCGCGCCCCCAGCCTGGGCTAGAACCTGAGCGTGCGCGAAGCGCGCACGATGCTTCTAGTATTCATATATATATATATATATATATATCGACTGCGGTCGCATTTCGGTAGCAGATCATGGAGCCTTCTCTGTCCTCGCAGCTTCGTCTCCAGAGTGCATTGGCGTGGGTTGCCGTCTGCAAGTCGATGGGGAAGCGCCGATTTTGCGTCGATTCGCGTCGATTTGGCGATTGGCGTCGTCCAGCGTCGATTCGCAAGAGCCAGCAAGATGACATGGGAGGCTCCCATGAGGTGCCACAGAAGGAGGAGGAGGAGGAGGAGGAGGAGAAGGAGGAGGAGGAGGAGGACGACGATGTCCAGTTAGGAGGAGGAGAAGAAGAAGGAGGAGGAGGAGGAGGAGAAGAAGAAGAAGAAGACGTGCGATGTCCGGTTCGCCAGGTCGAGCGAGTCAGAGGACACCGCCTGTTCCCACCCGTCCCCCCACAACACGAGAGCCCACTGTGGGCACAACTCGATCGTGGGATCGGAGCGCGTGTCCGCGCAATCCATGAGCGAACGGAGCGCGCTCGCGCGCTTTGCGGCCCCGCTCCCGAAGACTCGGCGGAGGGACTCCGCGCGCGGGCCGCGCGGGCGCGGGAACGGCAACGCGGCCGATGGGCGTGGACCCCTTTTCCGGAGGGAAAAAAAAGCACAGACGACGCAATGAATCGTCGATTTCCCAGAGGGGACGTGGGGGGGGGAAGACGAGAACCCAGAGCAGACGGGAAAATATGGGAAATGGTGGATTCCTGCTCTCTGTGTCCTACTTCTTCGCGTGTCCCAGGGCCCCTTCACTCTTGGCCTGGGGCAGGAGGGCGCGGGCGGCCCGGCGCGCTTCGACGCACGAGCGAGCGAGATATATCTCGGCGTCGGCCCCCCCGGGAGGCTGCCGCCATTGCTCGCGGGGCCACCGGGGGGGCCTCGTGGGCCCGCGCTCCCGTTGTCTCAGGAGCGGAGGACAAAGGACGTACATGTACATGAATCCACGCTCCTCCTCGCTCCTCCTCGCTCCTCCTCCTCCGCCTCCTCCTTCCTGTTTCTCCCCCTGCTTCCTGCTCTCTTCCCAGTGCCCCCCGCCCCCGGGCGCCTCCTGCCACAGTGGGCGGGCAGGGCGCACGTGTTTCAGGAGCGGCAAAAGGACGTACATGTACATGAATCCACGCTGGTTTCGCGAGTTCACATTGCGCAAATGTTCGTATCACGCGGCCGGTCTCGCGGATCGAGGGGCCGTGTTCATGTGCATAGCTGGCCGCGTACGTCCTTTGTGGACTCCCTAGTTGTGCACCTCCTGTGGGCGTCGAGCAGGTCGGGGGCGGCAAAGAGGGGGGTGATGACCAGGGGGGGGGGATTCATGGCGGGGGCCATGATTTCTCCCCAGATTTCATGGCGCCTCTTCTTATTTCATTACGTCCCTGGCCCCCCCGCTGGGCCGCACATGCCGCCAGTCATGATTTGCACGCCCCCCTCTTGGACACCCCCCTCTTGGCCGCTCCCGACACCTGGGGGGCCTCGCGGGCCCGCGCTCCCGCTGTGCACCTCTGTGGGCGTCGCGCAGGGGGGGGTGCGCTGAATTGGGGGGGGGGGCAGCAAGGGCTGTCGGAGAGGTGCCCTTTTCTGGGCCCCCTGTAGAAGCCCATGCCAAGAAGCACGAAGCACCTTGCTCGCCTCCAGGGTGCCCAGGGTTTCTTGGGTTTCGATGGTTTTGCGATGGGAGCCGTGGCATTCCCACACCAAAAGTTAATGGACGTCCTGGGGTTCCAAGGTTGGGTCTCTTCTGAAAGGGTTCTTGTCGTCGAGCCCCTACTGCATCGCCTTCACACCCCACCTCCGCTTTTGTCTTGCCCGACTTCTCTGGCCCCGCACTCGCCGCAGGAGGAGCCAAGGGGGACAGGAGGACGGAGGCTGCAGCATCGATGTTTTGTTGTGCGCCCTCGGCACCTTTTTGGGGCCTCTCGGGAGGAGGCCTCTGGAGGACTCCTGGGGCTGTTTTGCTGTACTTCGGCTGTTGTTTGTGGACCTAAAACGCTGTTTTGTTGTACTCCTGGAGGCATTGATAGACCTGAACGCTGTTTTGCTGGACTTCGGCTGTTGTTTGTGTTGCGTTTTGGCAGGGAGGTACAGGAAAACAGGTAGAGCGAAACGAACAACACAACGAACAACAACGTTTAGTTCCAGCCCTGTCCTGGGGGTCTTGTGGGGTGGGGCTTCGGTGACCTCGGACAGCGCGAAGGGGGGGGACGGCACAGTCAACCCGCATGGTAAGGATGGGCAGCCTTCCCAAGGGAAACTTTTTTCATCCTTGCCCCTTCGGCCCATCCTCGGCGATTTTCACTGCCCAACCTCGTTCGAACAACGTCAGCTTGGCTCTCCACGGCCCCTGCATCCTTCCCGCGCATCCTCATCACATGGGCCGACTGTGGGAGGAGGGGGTCCGAAGCGGGGATGTATCCAGAAACGCCGCCTGGGGGATCGATCTCCGCGGACCTCCACGGGCGGTGGATCTATTCGGGCCCCCCGCGGGGGCCAAACTATATCCACATCCACCGCCCGCTGGGGCACCAGGACGCCGGTTCCGAAGCCGGTGAATCTGGATAAATCCTTGCCTCGCAGGGGGGGGAGGGGGAGGGGGTCAGATGGGGATGGAGGGATGGAGGATGGAAGGGGGATGGAGGGGATCAGAGGGACTGAGAGGGGAGAGGGTGCGGCGGGAGTGACATGGACGGGGAGGTGTGGGGGAGGGCATCTTGGTGGTCACCCTCGCCGCTTGCGCTGGCTGCTTCTGCCAGCCGAGTGGCAACCTCTACCTCGTCGTCTTCGACGACGAGGAGGACATGGCCCTTCGCCCGCGGCCGCGGCCAGCGATGCACAGGGCGCCCTGCACCTGGCGGGCATGAGCAGTTGTTGTGTGATACTTGGCATGTACCCCCACTTCACGGGTCTGCATCATCAGTTGTTTTCTTGGCGTAGGCATGAGAGCAAGGGCGCCCTCGAGGGCGCGAAGTTATTCGCGCTTCGCGGTTCAGCTCCGATTCCTCCTCATTCTCCTTTTCTGCCCTGGGAGGCGGCGCGAGAGCGCGAAGTTATTCGCACTTCGCGCTTCGCGCAGCGCGAAGCGCGAAGCTGGGAGCCCTTGGAGAGGGGGGTGGCGGCTGATGGTGAGGAGGTTAAGCAGCTATGGACCTATTGAATGTGTTACCTGTTCAGTGCTCCATGCCCTGCTCAAGAAGTCACGCAGTGCCGATCGAACCAGTGGTGCCCCATTGTTGTTTGTTCTCGTCTGCTCCTGCCTTAGCGGGCCCTGGAAACGACATGGCCGTTTTTGTTACCGGTTCCGGTTTGCCGTTTTGTTGTTGGTTCCGACGCCGTTTTTGTTACCGGTTCCGTCGCCGTTGTTCCCCTTGATCTGGCTCCAATTCAAATCCCGGAGCCGTCCTTTTGCCGTCTCCGGCCGCTGCCGTTGTTTTGCCGCTCCCATTGTCAAGAGATTTGTTCGGAAGCGGTGAAAAAACGGTCGTGCCGCCTCCATGTCCAAATAAGGCTCCTGCTCCGCCTAGCATCGGCCACGCGCAGAGGGGGGTAGGGGGAGGAGAGAAGGCTCTTAGAAGCACCCATGCTTCTTAGAAGGCGCGGGCCTTCTCTATGGATGTAAGGGCTACGCCTTCTAATACGCAGCCCCTTGTGCGCGCCGCCAAGAAACAGCAACAAAAACGGCCCTGCCGTTTCTGAGGCCCACGGAGACCCTTGCGCCGCCCAGCAGTATGATTCATCCTCCTCCCTGCTGCGTGCTGCTCCGGCTCAGGCTCCTCGTGTTGTTCTCGTGCCGCCTCCGAGGCCACAGAGAGGACTTCTCGGACGGCCAGAGGGTCTCCGAGAAGCCCCGCCGTCTTCGAGAGCCGTGGGTCGCCTCCGAAGCCACAGGGGGCTTCTCGGAGGGCCAGAGGGCTTCCGAGAAGTTCTGCTCTGTCTCCGGAGAAGCAGGGGTCGATCTGCACGGTGTTTGGGCGATCTCGTGGGCCGTTGTCGTTTCGAGCTCGTTTTGCAGCCTAAGGCGGATCGGAGACGAGACGAGGGAACATGACAGCAGAACGAGAACGAGAGACGCTGTTTGGGTCGATCTAAGCTGAGCAGGCCTGCGCCCCCCCATCTCCCCCCTCGGCGCCCTTCCTGTTTCCTACCCTCGTCCTGCCGTTGTCGGGCGGGCCCAGCACCAGGATACATCCTTCCGCAGCTCGCTTTCCGCGCGTGCTGGAGCGCTCTGGGAGGGCCGCGGCGCTGGACCTCAGAGATTCCCGATGCGTCCCTGTCCGATGTTATCCGGGACCTGGCTTCGTCTTGGGAGAGGGACTGCGGCCCCAGAAACCAGGACATCGCAAGCCAGGACTTGACAAGGCCCAGGACGTCGCAAGCCAGGACTCCGCGAGCCAGAGATTCCCGACTTGCCCTTGTCCGATTGCCAAGGCTTAAGTCGGGCACGTTCCTCTACAGGAGGAATATTCAAAAATAGTCACACAAAAAAGTACAGAATAGTCTGGGGACGATGTTTTGACCATTTAGGGTGATTTCTTGAGTATTTCTTGTTTTTCATCCAAAATCCACGACTTGATGCCAAGGCCTTGTGGCTGGTGCCGCCGAGCCTGGAAACATCGGCCCTCGACGAAAATGGGCGGGAGGGGGCGGGCCATGGGCGAGCCGGTGGGCCAGCGGGGGGACAGCTAGGGGGCCGTGTGCGCTCCCGACACGCCCCAGGAGGGTTTGGTATTCTGACCCGGGACCACCCCCGGGGACCACTCCTCCTCCTCCTCCTCCTCCTCCTCCTCCTCCTCCTCCTCCTCCTCCTCCTCCTCCTCCGTCTTCCTCCTCCTCCTCCTCCTCCTCCTCCTTCTGCTTCTCCCCCTCCTCCTCCTCCTCATCCTTCTGCTTCTCCCCCTCCTCCTGCTTCTCCTCCTCATCCTCTTCCTCCTCCTCCTCCTCCGCCCCCTCCCTCCGCGGGGAAGGCATCACAGGGAAGGGGCTTCCCTTCGACTCAATGGCAGCGTTGCTCGATTTCGCTGTGGATGGGCTGGTGTGTTTCGCTCTGGCTGGCGCGCTTGATGACAATGGCACGAGGAAAAGGGGGGAAGCGGCGACGGACGCAGGGGAAGGAGGGGACGTGACGGCGGCGGCGACGCGACGGCGGCAGCGACGGCGACGGCAACGGAACAGCTCTGCCACACGCCGACAGGGTTGGAGGATTTTGTCCCGGTCCTGACTTCGCGGCCACGCTGGTGGACTGCGTGCTCCCACAGCTGTCAGGGAGGTCACTGGGTGAGCACGGGGCAGGGGCCTCTGCCGGGCCTGGGGGCTCTCCTCGCGGGCCTCGGGGGCCTCTCGGGGGCCCCTCTTGGCCACCCTGGGGCTCTCCGGGCTCGTCGTGGGCTGCTCCTTGGGCCGCGCCTGACGCTGGAGGCCCCAGTCCTGGCCCCGTCTAGCTCGAGGAAGCGCAGGCATGGATTCAGGCGCGTGGATGAGCGACGGGGCCCGTTTCCGTGGATCGTCGGCGCGATCCGTCACCAGATGAAGCGGCATCGCCGCCATGTTCTGGAGGCTGCTCTCCCCGATCCGTGGATCTGGCGCCCATGCGTCAGATCCATGGACGACCCCTTTATCGGCGGCGAGCCCGGGGGGAGTGAGAGGGGGCGGGCCTTCTCAGAGAGGCTCGGAAGTCTCCCGGCCTTCTGAGAAGTTCCCTCAGCTTCCCCCGAAGACGCAGCAAGAGGTTCTCAGAAGGCGCGCGAGGGCTTCTGACAAGCCTCGCCGCTTTCTGGGAAGCCCTTCTCCTTCTCACTTCCCCCCCTCGCTCGCCACCGACCCTAATTCCCATTCCCAGAGATGCGATGGCGTATTTTTTTCCAACACGTGGTCCCCAGAAGTCTCGACCCATCCCCCAGCACCGGTTTTTCATCCTGAGCCGTTGTTTGACGGTCCCGGGGACCGGCGAGGGCCCCTGAAGAGGCCGACAGTTGCGATAGATGTTGGTGTTGATTTCTTCATCATCCGTCGTATCTCCTGGTCTGCGTGAGCCCTAGCTTGCGTTGGCGATCCGCTCGAATCAACGCTCTAAGGTGTCCCTCGTGTCGTGGCGTTCGCAGAGGTTGAAGCGGGTCATCAGCTCGACCGTGGCTGCTAAGACCCTGGCCTTGTCCAGCGCGGTGGCAGCAGCTCAATGGTTGCAAGTGATGTGGAGAGACGCCGTGTTCGCCTTCGAGGGGTGGCCGCCTTCGAGGGGTGGCTCCCTCTGGGCCAGCGTTTCTTGTGTCGCCTTCGAGGGGTGGCCGCTCCGCATCCCCAGTGGCCGCACCCCGTCCTCGGCGAGGGCCACGGCCGGCGGGCCCTTTGGCCACGGGCGGGGGGGGGCCGGCGGCCACCTCCGTGCGGTTCGTCCCCCTGCTCCAGCTCTAGCTGCCTCCACACTCCTCCTCCCTCCCCTCTCCTCTTCCTCCCTGCTCCTCCTCCTCCTCCTCCTCCCTGCTCCTGCTCCTCCTCCTCCTCCTCTCCTCCTCCTCCTCCTCCTCCTCCTCCTCTCCTCCTCTGGTGCCCCTCTCCCCTCTTCCTTTCCCCCTCCTCCCTCATCCCCCTCCGTCCCCCCCCCCGCCTCACACCTCCCCATCATCCCCCTCTTTGTTCTACCCTCCCCCCACCTTCTCCTCGTCCCCCTCTCCAAGCACTGGCGAGGCGCCTCTGAGCAAAGGACGCAGAGTGCGGTTGTGTCCAACGCCTCGGCTCTCTCCAAGGAGTCTATGGGAGGCCCAGACCAGGCCTCCACGAACCGCCTTCACGGCGCTTTCTCATCTCAATCTCATCGTCTCCCTTCTCCTCATCCCTCGTCCTCGGGGCAGCTCGGGCCTCAAAGGTCGCCCCCCCCCTCCCCGCCCCCCTCGAGGACCACTGGAAGCAGGCCCTGGACCACTGGCACACCATGGGGTGCAGGCAGATGCTGGAGTGCCCCGGGCCGGAGGAGGCAGGACTCAGAGGGGAAACACTCCTCGGTCGTTGAAGGTCCCCGCGATCTCAATGTACGTAGGTAGGCGAGGAGGAGGAGGAGGAGGAGGAGGAGGAGGAGAAGGAGGAGGAGGAAGGGGAGGAGGAAGGGGAGGGAGAGGAGGAGGAGGCGGAGGAGGAGGAGGAGGAGGAGAGGAGGAGGAGGAGGAGGAGGAGGAGGAGGAGGAGGAGGAGGAGGAGGAGGAGGAGGAGGACGACGGAGGAGGAGGAGGAGAAGGACGACGGAGGAGGAGGGGGAGCTGGGAGGGGGGGGAGGGGGAGGAGGAGGAGGAGGGGGGAGGGGGAGGAGGAGGAGGGGGAGGGAGGAGGGGAGGAGGAGGAGGAGGAGGAGGAGGGAGGAGGAGGAGGAGGAGGAGGAGGAGGAGGAGGAGAGAGGAGGAGGAGGGGAGGAGGAGGAGGAGGAGGAGGAGGAGGAGGAGGAGGAGGAGAGGAGGGAGGAGGAGGAGGAGGAGGAGGAGGAGGAGGAGGAGGAGGAGGAGGAGGAGGAGGAGGAGGAGGAGGAGGAGGAGGAGGAGGAGGAGGGGAGGAGGAGGAGGAGGAGGAGGAGGAGGAGGAGGAAGGGGGGAGGAGGAGGAGGAGGAGGAGAGGAAGAGGAGGAGGAGGAGGAGGAGGAGGAGGAGGAAGAGGCGGACGAGGAGGCGGACGAGGAGGAGGAGGAGGAAGACGGAGGAGGAGGGGGAGCGGGAGGGAGAGCGGGAGGGGGAGGGCGGGAGGGGGAGGAGGGGGTGGGGGAAGGGGGAGGAGGAGGAGGGAGGAGGAGGAGGAGGAGGAGGAGGAGGAGGAGGAGGCCTTTCTGCTTCCAGGCTCGCGGGAGTTCCCCTCCGTCCCTCCGCTTCAGTGGGGCGGGCGGAGGCCCAGACCACCTCCAACGCTGTCCTGCTCCACGCATCGACCTCCTCCTCCTTCTCCTTCTCGTCCTCCTCCTCCTCCGCCTCCTCATCCTCCTCCTGCTCCTCATCCTCCTCTCCTCCTCCTCCTCCTCCTCCTCGTCCTCATCCTTCTCCTCCTCATCCTCCTCCTCCGCCTCCTCCTCCTCCTTCTCTTTCTCCTCCTCCTCCTCCTCCTGTTCCTTGCGACCGACGTGTCTCTGCCGATGCGGCCACGACTTGCGTGCACAACAAGCAACACCGCGCGGCGAGCCCGGCGGCGCGCCGCACGCACGCCCGGCACCGCGCACTGCCAGCAGTACCAGACCGCCGCGCTATGCGGCCCTCGTCGCTGCCTTCGACGGCCCGAGGCCGCATAGAACGTTGCCACATGGCCCTGGACCAGGGGCAGGAGGAGGAGGAGGAGAAGGAGGAGGAGAAGGAGGAGGAGGAGCAGGAGCAGGAGGAGGAGGAGGAGCAGGAGGTGAAGGAGGAGGAGGAGGAGGAGGAGGAGGAGGAGATCGGCGTGACCCTCCAGAGTGGAAGAGGGCCGAGCAGACGAACGTGCAGCACATCGAGGAAGAACTGTACAGCACCAGGGGCGCGTGGAAGGGGCCTCAGCGCGAGGGCTGAGGGGGGCAGTGCGCTCGGCCCGATCGCGGCGTGCCCCGGAGAACGGCACCCGGGAAGTTCTGGAACTCGCTCGGCAGGACCGCCGGGAGCCACAGGCGCAGTTGGCGGAGCTCCTCGGCTGCGCGCAGAGTGGGGCAGGGGGGAGGGGGGGAAGGCTTCTTAGAAGCGCCCCTGCTTCTTAGGAGGCGCGGGCCGTCTCTTTTGATGTCAGGCCGGCGCCTGAGCAGCTCCCTTACAAGAAGCCTTCCCCCCTCCCCCTACCCCCCCTCTGCGCGCCGTCAACACTCAGGAGGGGGAAAAACACACAGATACAATTAATCTCCGATTCTCAGGAAAATATAGGAAAATATGGGAAGTGGGGGGGAAGACAAAAAACACAGAAAAGATGGGAAAACATTGGGAGTCTTTTTATTTGTGTGTATTTATTTGTGTGTCCTGGGGCCCCTTCAAACACCTTCACGTCCATGATCGCCCTCGCGAGGAGAGCGCCGATCATCGGGTCGTCCAGCGCCAGAGGCCAGCTGGGTCGGTGCCTGCGGCAACGCGCGCATCCTTGCGGAGGGCCGAGGCCTATCAGGAGGGGAAAAGGCAGGAGGGGAAAACACACACAGACACAAATAATCGTCGATTTATTTTTTTGTGTGTATTTATTTGTGTGTCCCAGGGCTCCTTCCAAAAGGCACGGACACAAATGAATCGCCGATTCCGAAGAACGTACGGAACAGATGGGAAATGCAGGGGAAGACCGAACGTCCAAGAGATATGGAAAGTCTTTGGAACGGTGGGAGTTTGCTCTGCCGATCTGAGTGTCCCTGGGCACCTTCAGTCAATGCCGCACCTCGCATCGTGGGGCGGCGGCCACGATGCCGGAGGGCTGCGCCCCCGCGCAGCAGAGGCCGCGTGGCCCGCAGCCGCGCCCATGCAGCTCGGGTCCGCCGCTCGGCGGCACAGCGACGCGAGCGCCCAGCGCGCCAGAGGGGGCTCCATGGCGCACAGAGGGGTGGGAGGGGCTCGGTGGTCCTCAGGACGCGTGTTGGCAAAGTGTGTGTAAGAGTAAGTGTAGGTCGGGCACGTCCCTCTACAAGAGGAGTGTCCAAACATGGTTTAAACAAAAACCGTCGGGGGACGATGTTTCGATTATGCATGGACCATTGGGGAGTATGTTGTGGCTATGCATTAGTTGTTCTCACAAATCCGCCTGTAGGGGGACACACCCGACCTAAAGTGTAAGTGTAAGTGTAAGTGCAAGTGTAAGTGCAAGTGTAAGTGTAGGTGTAAGTGTAAGTGTATGTGTGTGTGTGTTTGCCCTGGTTCAGCCCCGCCGATGGCACCCAACACCCTTCGACATTCATTACGCATCCCGCGTCGTATCGGAGCGGCTTCGGCGGACAGGCGCACGATGGCATTACTGAGTCATTTCGCATGGTAAGGTCGGTCAACCCTCCCAAGGGTACCCTTGCATCCTTGCTCCTTCGGCTCATCCTTAGCGACTTCCGCTGGCCAACCTTGTTCGAAACAGAACGTTCATATGGGCCTCCAAGGCTCTTGGTGATCGTTTTCTGATTGTTTTGCCGATCTCGGGCCCTCGCACCCCCCCTCACCCCCTCCATGGAGTAAATATTGGCGCCTGTTTCGAGCGGGTGAAGTCTCCCCCAGAGGAAGCACTGTTGCAAACAGTCGAACAAGCAGAGGTCCGGAACCAGACTCCCCTCCTCCCTCCCCCATCCGCCCAATGTCGGAACGCCGAAAAGCAAAGCGTTCCTTTGAATCCTTCTGATGCGAGTTAGCTGCAACGCACGCTTTGAGAATCATCAAGAGGGGCAAGGAGGGCGGGGAGAGCGGGGCGCGGCACGCGTGGGGGGCGGCGTGGATGGGGCGCCGAAGTGGCGCGGCCTCGCGAGGCCCTGGCGCCCGTCCGAGGTGGCGCCGAGGAGGGCTCGGGATGGCAGACGGGGGAGGGAGGCAGGGAGGGAGGGAGGGAGGGAAGGAATGGGAGGAGGAGGAGGAGGGGGAGGAGGAGAAGGAGGGGGAGGAGGAGGAGGAGGAGGAGGAGGAGGAGCCGAAGCAGAAAAACCATAAACATAAACTGTTGGCGCTCCGCGCGGATTTCTTCGTAAACTGTTGGCGCTCCGCGCGGATTTCTTTTGGATGCGCGCCGCGCGCCCCCTCGGAGGCGCCGCCGCCGCTGGCGCGCTCCGCGCGCCGGGGAGGGGGGCCCAGCGCGGATCCAAGAAGTCCTCGCGGGGCGCCAAAGGCTTATGTCTACGCCGTTGTTTCATTCGATTTTTTTGTTCCTAAAGACGGCGAGGCTGAAGGCTGCAGGCACGCAGCGGTCCAGGACCGCCGCGCCCCGCGGGCGCCTCGCAGCGCTCCGCGCAGGGTTCGGGGATCGGGCCGGACGCAAGGGGGGGACTGGGAAAGGGGGGGGTACGAAGTTAGCTGCATGCAGCTGGTTTCGGCCTCACCGCCGGGCCCATTCCTCGATACATGGGCGCCTCCGGCGCCGGGAGGCGCCAGGGAAGTCAGCTACGTGAGCTGATTCTCCCCCCCCCCTTTCCTATCCCCCCCTTTCGCCCGACCCGAGAGGAGCGCGCGTGGCCCTGTTGGGCAAGGCTCCAGCCGAGGGGCACGCGACGGCACGGCTCAAACCTTCGGCCCTCACGGGTTTCGGGGTCGAGCCCCCCGACTCCCCGAGCCGAGCCCAAGCGTGGCGACGCCGACAGTCTACGACCGAAGTCCATCAACCGATTGATTGTATCGAAGGCGGGCCCGCTCAGGAGCCCGCTTCGCGGATCTCTTGCTTGAGCGCGTCGCCCTTACACGAGTCCGTCCTTGACGATTTCGACTGCACCCTTCACAGCGGACTTCGGCGAGCCATCCAAAACCCAGACCACCCTCAGCAGCGCGCCGACAGCGTTCGTCTTGCCCTCACCGTCCAGTCTGTCCAGGCGCAGCTTTTGCATCAGCATGTGCACCCTCTGTTCTTCGGTCGCGGGGCCCATGAGGGCCTCAGCAATTTTGCCCGAGGCGTCGGACTCGGCGGTGCCCGCGTCGGTGCAGAGGTCGCGCTCAGACTCCAGTTGCGGCCTCGTCCCCTCCACGCTCACCAAGTCCTCGGTACAGTGGGGGCCCATGCCAAGACACGCCCTGCTCGCCTCCAGGGTGCCCTGGGATTCTTGGGTGTCGAGGGTTCTGCTGTGGAAAGCGTGCCGTGCCAACACCAAAAATCCGTGGACGCCCTGGGGTCTCAGGGTTGGGTTTCTTGTGTTATGATGCTCCAACCTGCTTTAGCCTTGATCACCAGGAAGAATTTCGAGCGCCCAGAAAAGTACCGAAACTCAATGGTTTTGACGTGTCGGGCCCTGGGAGGCACTCGCCCGACACTGTTTCGACATTGCTTCGACACTCTTTTGACATTTTTCCGGGTGCTCGAAATTATTTCTGGGATCTTAAGTAGAATGGGAACTACATAATTCTTGTGGAAGGTTTTTTGTGGACTGGCCTCCACTGCTAATTTGTACCTTTGCCCGAGTCGTCTCCTGCGGACTCCGTAGCTAGGCAGTTGCTGTCAAGATCCTCGGACCAGCGACGCTTGGCCCGGCCCGCCACGGCGCCCAGGGGAGCGCTACCTTCACGGCGCCTCCTTCCGCGGTTGCACAGTCCTTGACCACCAGCTCTTCCTCCTCCAATCCCTCCTCCTCCTCCTCCAATTCCTCCTCCTCCTCGTCCTCCTCCCCCCATCCTCATGATCCTCCCCTCCGCATGATCCTCCTCCTCCTCCTCCTCGCGGTCGCCCTTGCTGATGTTCACTTCCACATTGTGTGCGGCTTCTCTTCACACATGCTGGTCGAGCAGTTCCCCCTGTCATGCCACGGCACCTGCTTTAGGCCCCTGCTGGTGCCCGTGCGGCCGTTGCTCGACTTAAAGGGGTGAGGGGGAGGGAGAGGCGGACAAGGACGAGGACGAGGACGAGGAGGACGACGACGACGAGGACAAGGACGAAGACGAGGAGGAGGAGGAGGAGGACGAGGACGAGGAGGATTTCCACGAGCACAAGGACGAGGACGAGGGCGTGGCCTCGAATTGTTGGAAGGACAGCTGGGTTTAGGCACTCGGGCGGCAGCAACTCCATCATTGATATGGTATCGAAAGGTATCCCAGCATGTTGCCACCTTGCGGGGCTGCCCGGGAGATGTGGCGGGGGAGGAAGAGAAGGAGGCTTTCATTGCCAAGGTACGCCTCCTGGGCCCAGAACATCAGCGAGTTCGACGGGCAGTTCAACAGGCAGCCAGTATGTTGGGCCTCTGTTCCTTCTCGTGTTGTGTCGCCTCCCTCGGTTCTCCTCCCTCTTCCCTAACCCACCCCCCTCCAAGTGTTTAGGACGTAACTCCTGAGAGGTTTCATTCAGCCTCGGCGCTGGCACATCCGTTGTCGAAAGTCTGCTGAATTCTAGACGCTTCGCGTATCCCCACCAGCCGCGTTTCGGCGGGAGCGTGCATCCGGTGCCCTTCCACCCGTTGGGTCTGGGCCGTTACGTCTTGGTGTGGTAGTCTTCTCGGATCATGGATACACCTTGATGTCGCTGACGCCGCGGCTCGCTGCCGCCGTCGGGATCCTCGTTGGACTTACCACCCCGACCTCTGTGCTACCCGACAGGCTGGGGCTGGCGTCCTCGGTCGTTCCCTTGTCCGCCTTTGGACGTTGGAACGTTCTCGCGCCATTTTGGCTGCGCTAGGTGGTCTCGGTGCCTACCTCAGGCCTGTTGGACGCACCTGCATGCCCGTTCCGGGGCTGTCATGGCACCTGGATTGCATCGTCTTCGCCTCCCTGGACGCTGTCGTGAGCCGCCTGATCCGCGGCCCTGCGCGCGTTAGGTAATTTAGTCGCGTCCGCGGCCCGTTCGCGACCTTCCGCCGCTGGCGCTTCCGCCTGCGGCTGTAAAAAAATACCCCCACCAGCCAGCCCGCTCCCTGGACGTCTCCTTGGAGCCGCGAACCAAAAAGATATCCCCACCAGCCCATCCAGAAACGATGTCCAGGCGATGGAGGTGATCAGGGAAGTGAGGGAGCATACAGAGTAACACCGGGCCGGGGAACCCGTCTTACCGAAGACGGCGAGGATGGAGAAAGAATCGGAGAAGGATGAGGAGGAGGAGGAAGAGGAGGAACTGAAGGAGGAGGAGGGGGAGCAGGAGGAGGGAGGAGGGAGGAGGAAGAATAGGCGGATGAAGAGGAGGAGGAGCAGGAGGAGGAGGAGGAAGAGGAAAAGGGCGAGCAAAATGGCCAGAGGCTTCTTGGATGCCTCTCGGAGTCTCTTCGGATGTCTCTTGGGAGCGTCCTGAAGGCCTCTTAGGGCGTTTTGGGAGCGTCTTGGCGGTCCCGGAGGCCTGTTGAAGCGTCTTGGGTGCCTCGGGGAGCCTCTTGAGGCCTATTGGGGGTCTCTCGGGAGCCTCTTGGGGGCCTCTTGGGGGCCTCTTTGGGGCCTCTTGGGCGCCTCTTGGGGCCCTCTTGGGGCGCTCTTGGGGGCCTTGGGGGCGCTCTTGGGGCCATCTTGGAGGAGATCGATCAAAGAAAGGGAGGGTCCGGATTCGCCCTGCCCCTCTAGAGCGCCTAAAATCGCCTCTTGGGCCCCTCTTGGAGCGCTCTTGGGGCGCTCTTGGGCGCTCTTGGGGCCGTCTTGGGGCCATCTTGGGCCCCTCTTGGGGCCCTCTTGGACCATCTTGGAGCCATCTTGAGACCTCGAGTGGCCATCGGAAGCGAAAAGGCGAGAAAACACAAAACATTGATTTTCCTCAGGTTTGTGAAGGATTTGGGCCTCTTGGAGGCCTCCTGGGAAAGCTAGTTGGCCTCTTGGAGCCGTCTTGGGGCGGTCTTCGGGCCTATTGGAGCATTTTCGGAGCCATCTTGAGGCATCTGAGGCTAGCTTGAGCAATCTTGGAGCTCATCTTGGGCTCGCCGAGGCGCTCTTGGAGCCATCTTGGGCCATCTTGGACGCTCCAACTACCAGCGAAACCTCCCGTCCAGGTCCAGGGGAGGGGGTAGGGGGAGGGGTAAACCCCTCCCCGAAAGGGAAGAAAGGGGGTTGGAAGAGGAAACTCCCTAAACCACCTACGCCCAGAGGGCTGGTGGTATTCAGAGTAATGCCGTTTGCTTATGATTCATCCCGCCTAGTTTGGCTGAGTCCCAACCTTAATCTGGGTTAACTTGGCCCAGTTGCCTCCGAATCGGTTTGAATAGCATTCAATTACGAAGACGTCTCAAAACTTGCTCCCTAACCCACCCCCCTCCGAGTATGAACTGCCTTCCGCATAAGAATGCTCGCCTATGAACCCCCCCTCCTTTTTTGATCCTGCGTGCGCTCCCCGGCCGCACCTCGCACGGCGAATCGCCGCGGGCCCCTCCCTTCTGGAAACGCACGTGTCTTGAACTAGTCGGGCGGGGCTCGGACCGTGATAAATCGTCCCAGAGCATTCCAGAAGGCTCCCAGAGCGTACGCTAGTGGACTGCGTGTTCCCACAGCTGTTTGGGAAATCGTTAGAGGAGCATTGGGCTGGGGTCCATTGGGCCTTGGGGTTCTTTTCTGGCCTCTGCGCCTTCATGGGAGCCTCTTTTAGCCCTGTTTGGCCATCTAGAGGCTCTCCTGGGTCGTCTTGGGGGGCGTCTTGGGCCGTGTGACGAGGCCGTTTGGGAGCCCTCATGGGACCATTCAGGACCACGTTTGGGCTCTCTTGGGCCGTCTTCGGACCCGTTTCGGCCGTCTTGGTCTTGGTCGGGGTCCATTTGGGCCGATGGACGGACCGCCTTGTGGCCTGTTGAGACGTCTTCGACGCTCACAAAGAGAAACGTGCCAACAAAAGACATGTGTTCTTCAATCGTGGTGGCATCTCGGTCCGACCACGAGGGCCACCACGATTGCACAAGAGACCCCAAACCGAGCATCTTGGACAATCCTGTGGCCATCCTCGGAGCCTCTTTGGGGCCATTTTGGAGACACCTGGAGCCACCTTGGTGGCCATCAGGGACCGTATTGGGCCGCATTGGAGGTCATCTCGGCAATACTTGAGACGTTTTATTGGTAGTGGGATCGGCCCCGTTCTTTCCAGGTGGCCAGCGGGTCGCGCCGAAGGCCATTGGGCATTTTCTATGGGCACAACTTTGTTCCCTAACGCATCCAGGAATCTTGTGGCAAGCACAGGGGGTGGCGGATCCAAAACGCCTACGGTGAACCACCGCCGCCGCCTCCTATTTGGCCAAACGTTGTGATAAAATCTGGTCAAATTATTAGACTGCACCTAGCTCCTTCCGGCATTTCCGCCACCGTGTGCCAGCGCAGCATTCTGGGTGGCAACTACTGGAGAGAGAAAGGGGGCGTGCTGGGGGCCTCTTGGGGCAAGCTGAAATCATGGGGTCGTGTTCCCACTCTTGAGCCCTTCGTGTGGCATTATTGGTGCCCTCTTGGGCAGTCGTGAGCGCCTCTTGGATCCCTCGTGGGCCGTCTTGGAACTCACTTGGGTGCCTCTTGAGCAGCCGTCTCGGGGGAATCTTGGGGGCCTTTCGGGCCTGGGCCGTCTTGGAGCGTCGGAAGCTCGAAAAGGTAAGAATCCCCAAAACAATGAAACAGCTAAGGGCAACATTGTTTTTTCGCCCTGGTGCCCTCTAGGGGGCCCATGAGGGGCCTCTATTGGCCCTCTTGAGGCCTTCTGGGCCCTCTTGGTGCGGAAGGCTCAAATTACAGGTTCGTGTTCAGCCTCTAGGGCTTTTCTTTGGGCCGTCTGGAGGCCCTTGTGGGCATTCATGGCAAGGGCGCCTTTGGGGCCGTATTGGAGCCGTCTTCGGGTCTTCTTGTCGTCGTGCGGCAGTCCAGGTGTCCTTGGGTCGTCTTGAGACGTCGGAATCTCGTAAAGGCGGGAACCCGAGAAACATTGAACATCCAATGAAAGATCAATGATATGCGCCTCTCGAGGCCCTCTTGGGAAGGCTACTGGGGCTCTCTCAGAACGCCCCGACGGCTTCGTGGGCCGTCTTGAAGCCATTTTGGGCCGTCTTGAGGCCCATGTGGCCCGTCTTGGAGCGATCAATGGCCGTATTAGAGTATTAGAGGCATCGGGGCCTCAAGAGCACGAGTCTCTCGCAACCTGCGATGGATGACGGCCTCGGGGAAGAGGGGGCGGTGCGCGCAGCACCTTGCGACCGGGCCCTCAGAAAATCGAGAAACCCAACCAGGCAGTCTTTGGCATTTTTCCACGCCTCAAAACTGCACAAGGCACGGTTGCGGATGCACCCCCCGCCGTTATGGGAATGTGTTTGGGAGTTTGGCGAAGGAGGGGAGGAGCAGGGTGAGAGGAGGAGCAGCAGCAGGAGCGGGATCGGGAAACCGAGCAGGAGCAGGATGAGGAGGAGGAGAGGGAGGATGATGATACCAAGGAGAGGGAGGATAGTGAGGTCGAGGAGAAGGGAAGAGGGAGGAGGAGGAGGAGGAAGAGTAGGAAAAGGAGGAGGAGGAGGAGGTGAAAAGCCTCGGGGATCGAGAGATTGAGAGAGCGAGGCTTTCACACGTTCCACGCAGCCCGCGTGAAGTGGCCACACTTTGATGCGCGCCGCCATGGAGTGAGGTGGTCAGCTGGCAGGACTACATCGGGAACTTCATGAGCGCCACTGACCGTATCCGCATTTTGGGGTTCAGCCCGCGGTCGGCAGGCGGGGACTGATTCTCCGAGATTGCAGAGGGATGCGGAAAATTTGACTTTGTGATGCTAGCAGGGACACAGCAGAAAACATACTCGGCAGTAGCAGAACCTCTCTTGTCTCGTAGAGCGCAGGGCAGAACAGTGATTGAAGCCCCGTGGGGGGCGCGCGAATCGCCTGTTAGTAATCGTAGCGGTGGAGTCTCGATCATGTTCTGACCTGGCCAGGAAAGATCGCATGCGAAACAGACGCGGTCTCCTCCGAAGGGGGCTTCGGGCAGATGTCTTGGGGCCCGCGTCAGAAGAGGAAATCTAGATGCGACTCCCATTTCGATGCATTTTCCGCCGCAGCCTGACAAAGCGAGAGAGAGAGAGAGAGAGAGAGAGAGAGAGAGAGAGAGAGAGAACGGACAGTACTTTGGAGTTGTGCGCAGTATGACCGCATTGCTCAACTCATTGTTTTAGGCCTTGCCCGCCGGCGCTACGCCAATTATATATGTAGATTTAGATAACGGCATTGGCCGTTATGCAAACGAGCAAAAGCAATGGCAAGATGCTGAGGATGGGGCGGCGGGCATGGGGTCAGCGGGGGGGGCGGGAA